TCTCACTGCGCAGTTAGGCAGACTGTTCTCTGACTGATTTCTGGAACACACCCTGGTGCTTCCTGTGTGCCAAGTGCCTGACATCACTAACTACTATAATTCTCAGACCAGCCCTGCGAGGTGAGGATACACTGTCTCTCAGTATCCAGATGCCGTATCCAGGGTCTCCAGCTGGGAGGTGGAGTGGCAAGGGCCAGGCTGAGCATTAGCACACTTGGAGCTTACATCCACGCATACCTTCCCAGGACACAGGGTGCTAGTTTTTTTGGCCTTATCCTGCATTGATTTATATTATAAAGAATAGGAACTGACTCCATTTGACAAATTGACTTTCCCAGTTTGGGGACAGGAAAAAGGTGAAGTGGCAGAGCAGGCCGGATGCAGGACAGGAGCTGTGCAGGCTGGGCCAAGGCTGGGCCTGTCCTCACACCCTGACTCTTCTGTGCACCTCCCTTCATTCTAGCCACAGCCCTTTTCAGAGAGCTTCTTTATGAGGAGCATGTGGCAGGGGGGGTGGAGCACCTCTCCCAAGACCCAGAGTTGGCCAGTGGCCAGGTTGGAATTTGAGCCCCATTCTGCATGAGGTCTGGGTGATTCTGGAGCTCAGGCCCTTCTTCCTGTCTGCTTCCTGCAGGCCTGGTGCCCAGCACTTCTGCCCATCCTGGCACACAGCTTCCTGTCACCCTGGCCGCTGCTGCCTGGACGTGCTTGTTCCAGCCTTGATTTCCCCTGTACCTGCCACACTGATTCTCGATTCTGTATATTATACCTGTCCAAATGCGTGGCATTACCACTCCTTGTGTTAAAAATAGGCAATTATTTGGTACTGATTACTGCCTGCTGCATACCAATCTCTGCTCTCTAAGGGTTGATAGGACAGCAGGGCTGACTGACAGGGAGCTGACAGTTCCCATAGGAGGTGCCATGGGTGTGTCCAGGGTGACCATGAGGTTTCTCTGAGGCAGAGAGTGGGGGTGCCTGGGTAGGAACACGGTCAGAGGGCCCAACAGTCCGGGCTGGTGGGATGATTGGCAGCATACTTGGTAGCAGGGCTCTGGGAGGGGGGTAGGAGTGGGCTCCACAGCTGTCTCCTTTGCTGATAAGGAATGAGGGGCCCTTGAGGCAGATGGGGACAGAACCTGGCTCACTTCCCACTCTCATTGGCAGTCATGTGGCTTGGGGAGCTGGCAGAGGTGGTGGGGGTATGACCTGGAGACTGAAGCCCATCAGGTAGGACCACCAGAGGTACAGTGAGAGATGAGGTGAGGACTTGAACTTTAAGGAACAGAAGTCAGAATTAGTAAGTGAAGAGGGAGTTCCCAGGTTTCCAGTGTGGGCAATTGTTGGACATAGAGCTGAGGTTACAGGGATTTTTTTTTTCCGGTGTGTCGATGCCCTCTGCTCAGGCAGGGTCTAGACAGGAAGTGCCTCCTCTGACCTCCTGGTAGGGGAGTTCGCAGGGTCTGTGGGGTGGATCAGGTCCTCCCCCAGGAAACTCTGGTCTAAACCAGATACCAGTTGAACCCTGACCAGGCAGACTGGTGTAGCCATGGCAGCCAGGAGGAAGATATACCAGGGGAGCTGTGGAGCCCAGCTTGAAACAGGGAACTGCTTGCTTCTGAGCCGTCAGTCCTCCATCTATCTCAGAGGTCTGGGCACACCCAGGCAGTGGCCACCAGACAGGCCCCTCTTTTAGAGTGCTGCCGCCTTCCTGGCAGCCTCAGGGTCAGGAATGGCTGCCTTGGTACTGGAACTGTAGCAGGACCACTGATCAGTGTCTACCTTGTGAGCTGGCCATGGTTTTGCTCCCTGACCTCCCCCAGCTGGGCAGGCCCTTGGCTTCCCAGCACTGACCTCAGCTCGTGTGGGTGGAGCTCCCCAGGACTTGTTTGTTCTTCTAAGTTGTTTCTCTGAGCCTGTAACCACCACTCTGTCTTTAGGTCTGTTTTCTTGTGAGCTAGTTTGCCTTTGTTTAGTGACAGTTGCTGGAAGGGTTATGTTTTCTGGAGACAGAGGCTGAGGAGTGGCCATCCAGGTCCAGCTGCTTCTGTAGGAATCGTGGGGATAGAGCACAGGGGGCTTTGGAGAGCAGCTGGTTCTGCATCTGTGGGCGGCTGCCCTGAATCGTGGGGCTGAGGCCCACGACAGCCTCATGCAGCGAGCACGTTGGTCTTTGGTACACAAAGAGGAAGGGACACCACCCTGAAGCCCTGATGAGAAGCTGTTCCTTGTGCAGCTAGGAGCAGATAATGGATGGCAAGATGCTGAGCTGGCTGAAAAGGAAAGGACAGGGCCTCCTTGGGGGAAAATGTGGGGGGGGGTAACAGAGAGCAGAACTGCCTGGTTTCTCTTTCGCCTCATCTTGTATTCTGTGGAGTGTGATCTGCAGACTAGAAACAGGAGCAAAAACATTTTAAAAAATATGGTTTGCAGAACTGAGAATAGTGCTCAGGGCGCCTCTTCACTCTTCAGCCAACAAACATGCAGGGCCTGTTTGGGCAGGTGTTGTGTGCAGCAGTGGGAAGGACACATACGTGACATGGGCCTGGTGCTGCCTCGCAGAGCCCTGGCTCCCAGCTGAAGAGTGGCCTTCCTCCTTGGCTCCACAGCTGCCCAATCCTTTCGGTGGATGTTTATCCTAGTTCTTTTTGCTCTTGTGACTGTGTGTGTCCTGGCTGGTCAAGAGAGGCCTGTTTCTGGCCCCCTGCCTTGACGATGCTCCTCAGGTTCTTTGAGTCACAGCCGGGGACCACACTGTCCGTGTCCTCCGTGGTGTCGCTCCGACCAGGATGGGGCAGGGCTCCTCCTCCAGCACATCCCCTGGGATCTGGTGCCTTTGGACCTGGCAAGGTCCCGCCACTTCAAAGCTTTTAAGCCGGTGTCTGTGTCTTGTCTCTGTGGATGGTGCCAGGTGTCTTTGCTGCAGTCAGAGGGCACAGAGTTTGAGTGGGGCCTGTGAGTCTTGCTGACTCCATTAAAAATGGCCAGCCAGCAGCTTGGGAGAATTGCTTTCCACCAGCCAGGAGCCTGCCTAAGCCCTTGGAGATTGCTTGTCTTGGGCACAGAGCCCATCTGCGTAATCGAGTCCCCCTCTCAGAGTCCTTAGGCCCCCCTCTCCCTTTTTGTGCTTCACACCTTGGCTCCTGGCTCCACCTTCTATCCATGGCCTCTCCGCTTCCCCTCAGCCAGCCTCCAGCATGTTCCAGTGGCCAGCAAGTACCCTCTTGCCCTGTCTGCTCCTCTCCTCTCCCCTCCTGTGGCTCTGTGGCCCTCAGCCCTGGCAAGTCTCCATGGTGGGGTTTGCCTCACACTGCTGTTAGAAGGTGGGGAAGGGAAGAGGTATGGCCTTGGAGGGTGGGGGGACGGGTGAGGTGCCCTGAAAGCGGGTTTGCTTAGTCAGTTCTCTTGTCAGAAATGCTCAGTGACTTAGAGCCTAACTGGGTGACGACTCTTGATCTCCACATATAGATGCCTGCCAGCTTCACTTCCCCATGAGTTTGATCTTGTATTGTCCTCCTGCATTGTTCCTTTTGCTCCACTCTTGTGGCCCTGGTCACACTGCCCCTCACGCGTGTGCCTGCTCCATCCCAGCTGCTTTGTTAACAGGAACATGCCTTTGCTTCCTTTCCTCGGTGAAGGTTGGGGAAACAGATGGGAGTAGGGACTCTGAACCCCCGTGTTTAATGAGTTATCTAGCAGTGTGGTGGGTCAGGTTCATTTTATTCTGCTTTTACACATTAATACAGATTTGTCCAAGCCTTAGCATCTGGCCTCCTTTCTGGATTTCTTTAAGGATCACAAACATGATCCCACAGCCCCATGTGCACACTCTTCCAGTACCCTGGGGTTGGTTTGTCTGTGTATTTGTTTAGAGCAGTCAGAAGGCTTTCTAGCACCAGCTGGACCAGGCATGTTTAAGTTATTTATTTTTGAGAGAGAGTGAGTGAGCATGAGCAGGGGAGGCTCAGAGAGAAAGGGAGACACAGAATCCGAAGCAGGCTCCAGGCTCTGAGCTGTCAGTGCAGAGCCCAACACAGAGCTCAAACTCCTGAACCATGAGATCATGACCTTAGCTGAAGTCGGACCCTTAACTGACTGAGCCACCCAGGAGCCTCTGGACCAGGCTTTTTTAATTCTCCTGGGGTGAGGCAGCAGAGTCCTGACATGCTTGTTCATTTGTTAATCAGTATGCCCAGCAGTGGGAGAGAGGGCAGGCTGTGAGCAGATGGGCCCAGCCCTGAGACCCAAGCCTAACATGCCCCTTTGTTTCTAACAGACACAGACATGTTCTTAGCTTTGTGTGTGTTCAGCAGGGGGTGTGCTGCCATTCACAGGGAGCTCAGGCTTAGCTGGTGTATGTGGCTCTATCTTAGCAGAGCATTAGGTGGTGCATTCTGTCTCTGATTGGACATGTTTTGGCAAATGTGTTCTTAAGTGTTTATCACATTTGTGGGGTTTATTTTCTTTGTCCAACTCGGAGAACCTGCACGTCCCACATACTTTGAGAGGGACTAAGAATTGGCTTCGTGTGGCCCCTTTATTTTACAGAGGAGGAGACTGGAGCCGGAGCCCCACGGTTCTTAATGCCAGAGTTGAGTGGGGACCCAGGCCACTCAGAGGAAATTGAGGGCGCTCGCTACTTAGCCATCTGAGTATATTCGATGTTGTGTGGGTTGTGAGTGACTCCTAGGACCTAGATCCTCTGGTCTTTTGTGCTGGGGGTAGCTGCTTTGCTTTGTGGAGTCTAGCTTTCCTGTTGTTGGTTTTTTTCCTTCTCATAGCTCTGCCCTCTTACTCCCTTGCTCAGCTTGCCTTTTATCGCTGAGCTGAGAGTCCCTCTCTTGATGCCTCTCCTGGATGGACCTTGGCTAGGTTGGTATGCCATGGGACAGCACCTCTTCCATCCAGGGGCGGCTGCCTTGTGGGGCCTGCTGTCCTGGAACCGTGCAGGAGCAGACTTACAGGCATGTGTCAACATCTCTTCTTCTTCTGTGTTACAGTGAGGATGCCATGAGAAAAGCTGGTGTGGCCCACAGTAAATCCAGCAAGGATATGGAGAGCCATGTGTTCCTGAAGGCCAAGACCCGGGTAAGGCCTTGGTGGGTGGAGCCACCCTCCCTGGCAGAGAGACTCAGGAAGGGGAGGGTGTGGGGCAGATTCTGGAAGCTATCTGCCTGCAGAGTGGGGATGGGGTGGCTGCTCACTGATTGACCATGGGCACTGTCACCTTTACCGTCAGCATGCTGTCACTCTTCCCACGTGTCCGTGGTATACATACAGGGAGAATGTATGCCCGGCCTCTGACCACAACCCCGTTGCCAGCACCATCCATTCATGGTCAGCTCCCAGGAGTCTTGTAGGGTGCTCGGTGGGGTCCAGTTGTTCCTCTGAGGAAGAGTACTCCCCATGGGGTCCTCACTGAAGCCCCACAGGGCCCTGACACGTGGGCCCAGAAGGGTTTCCGTCATATTTCGTTAAGTGCTGAAGGTGATGCCTGTGGAAGTGGAGGCCTTGAGCTAGGACGCAGGCCGAGGAATGTCACAGGTGGAGTAGTTGGGAAGCATTTCTGCTGTGTGAGCTGTCGTCCTGGGCCAGGTGCCATGGCTTCTTGTGACTGCCTCCTTTCATTGGAGTGTTCTTCCCGGGGCAGAACCGTTTTTGTAGAGATGAAGCAGAACAGGCGCAAGGGAGCCAGTGGCTTGGCCAGTGTTACCTAGTTGTGCGAGGAGGGGCTGCTGCCCAGGGCTTTTGTTGCCCCACTGCACCTGCCCTGCTTCGCAGATCCTGACTGTGCAGACTCTTTGGCAGCTCTGGGTCTGCCCCGAGCGCTTTGATCCTTCATGTGGTGTTGGGAGTTCTAGAACATCCTTTCATGTCAAGAATTAAAAGCAGATGCCGTTTGTGGCCATCAATGGGATACTGATTTGGATAAACCAACTGTTAAGACATATAGAGGTCAATTCGGTAAATGTGGACATGATCTGTGTGTTTAGATGAGGTGAACATTTTTCGAAATGGAAAGATCAGGATTACCAGCCAGAGAAAGCAGTTTCCAGAAGAGAAACCACCTGTATGTTGTATTTGTGACCACATGTAAGTGTAAGGAAGAGTGCTGAGGTGTGGAGGGGTCTGCGCTCTGGATATACATAATGAACATTTTCTTGAGGCACCTGGGTGGCTCAGTCGGTTAAGCATCTGACTTTGGCTCAGGTCATGATCTCACCTTTCATGTGTTTGAGCCCCGCATCGGGCTCTGTGCTGTCAGGTCAGAGCCTGGAGCCTGCTTCAGAGTCTGTGTCTCCCTCTCCCTCTGCCCCTCCCCTCCCTACACTCTGTCTCTGTCTCTCAAAAATAAACATTAAAATATTAAAAACAAAACAAAGCATTTTCTTTTGTTTTAATAACAACTTTATTGAGGTTTACTTCATATACCACACAATTCAGCCTTTTAAAGTATTACAATTCAGTGGTCTTTAGGATATTCACAGAGTTGTTCAACCGTCAACACAGTCTACATTTTAGAACATTTTCTAAAAGAAACTCCATAACCGTTGGTTGACATTCCCCATTTTCCTTCAACCCTCAGCCCTAGGCATTCACTTACCTACTTTCCACTGTTAAGGATTTGCCTCCTCTGATCTTTTCATATAAATGCAAACATACAGTATATGTTTTTGTGATTGGCTTCTTTCACTTAGGAAGATATTTTCAAGTTAATCCACAGACCATTTTGTAACATGTAGTTTATTCCTACTTACTGCTGAATAGTATTCCATTGTATAGATATACTGCATTTTATTTATCCGCTCATCAGTTGATGGTTGTTTGGATTGTTTCCACTTTCTGGCTGTTACCATTAATGCTGCTGTAAACATTTGTGTACAAGGGGCACCTGGCTGGCTTGGTTAGTGGAGCGTGCAACTCTTGATCTAGGGGTTGTGTGTTTGAGCCCCAACTTGGGTGTAGAGATTACTTAAAAATAAAATCTTTAGGTGTGTCTGGGTGGCTCAGTTGGTTAAGTGTCCGACTTTGGCTTAGGTCATGATCTCATAGTTTGTGGGTTCGAGCCCCGCGTCAGGCTCTGTGATGACAGCTCAGAGCCTGGAGCCTGCTTTGGATTCTGTGTCTCCCTCTCTCTCTGACCCTCCCCTGCTGTCTCGCTCTCTCTCTCTCTCTCTCTCTCAGAAATAAAACATTAAAAAAATTAAACAAAAAATTTTTTTAAATACAAAATAAAATCTTAAAAAAAAAACCCACACACATTTGTGTAGAAGCTTTCCTGTTGACGTACCGTTTTCATTTCTTGGGTAGATACCTAGGATTGGAATTGCTGAATCATATGGTAACACTGTCAGGCTGGTGTGTGTGTGTGTGTGTGTGTGTGTTAATAAAGATTTTATTTTTGGGGCACTTAGGTGGCTCAGTCAGTTAGGTGTCTGACTTCAGTTCAGGTCATGATCTTATGGTTTGTGGGTTTGGGCGCTATGTCGGGCTCTGTGCTGACACCTCAAAGCCTGGAGCCTGCTTTGGATTCTGGTTTCTCTGTCTCTCTGCCCCTCCCCAACTCATGCTCTGTCTCTCAAAAATGAATAAAGGTAAAAAAAAAAAAATCTTTTTTTAAATTTATTTTTAAATAATCTCTGTACCCACTGTGGGGCTCAAACCCATAACCCTGAGATCAGGAGTCGCACAAAACAGCTAGGCGCCCCGCTAGACTTTTTGAAAACAGTTGCGTTATTTTACATTCCCATCAACAGGGTATGAGATTCCAATTCCTCCACTCCTTATCAACACTTGTATTGTTTGTCTTTTTTTTTTTTATTATAACTGTCAAAATGAGTGTGAAGTAGTATCTCACAAAAATGGTGGTTTTGATTTGCATTTCCTGGTGAAATGATACTAATGATACAGAGCATCTTTTTGTGTGCTTGTTGGGCATTTGTATATATTCTTAGGAGAAATGTTTATGCAGATCGTTTGCCCATTTTATTTTATTATTTTTTAAATTTTTTTTTAAAATTTATTTCTGAGAGAGAGAGAGAGATAGTGTGGGCAGGGGAGGGTAAGAGAGAGATGACACAGAATGTGAAACAGGCTCCCAGGTGCCCCAGTCCTTTGCCCATTTTAAAATTGAGTTCTTGGTTTGGTTTTTTGTTTTTTTTTTAATTGACTGTAAGAGTTTTTAATGTGTTTTGGATCTAAGTTTCTTTTTTTTCTTCTTCTTTTTTTTTAAATTTTTTTAATGTTTTATTTATTTCTAGGAGAGAGAGAGCGTGAGCAGGGGAGGGTCAGAGAGAGAGGGAGCCACAGAATCTGAAACAGGCTCCAGGCTCTGAGCTGGCAGTCAGCACAGAGCCCGACGCGAGGCTCGAACCCACGAACCGCGAGATCATGACCTAAGCAAAAGTCAGACACTCAACCGACTAAGCCACCCAGGCGCCCCTGGATCTAAGTTTCTTATTAGATGTAGACTTTGCAAATATTTGGGGGGATGGGATGTTATTACTGGTTTTGTTAGTTTGTGTTTTCTTAGAATTAAAAGATTGATTAGGGCTTATTGAACTATTTCAGCTTTTGGAATCCAGAACTTGTTGGTTCAGTATTGTTTGTCATCTATTGTTTAATAAGGAACTACCCAAAAACTTAATGATCTAAGCAGTGAGTTACTTCTTCTGATTCTGTGGGTCAGCAGTTGGGGCAATTGGAATTGCCTGGCTGCCCGTTCTGCTGGTCTCCTGTGTGACCTCTTGTGCAGCTGTTTTCAGCAGGCCGCTGGGCTGACCTGGAAGGTCCATAAAGGCTTTACTCACACATCTCTGTATCGATTTTCTTGATGTGACCTCCACATAGCATCTCCAGCAGTATAGCGGGGACTTCCTTACTACGTGGCAGCTGGCTTCTGAGGACAAGGAAGTAGAAGCTGCCAGTCCTCGGAAGTCCTCGAACCTCAGTCAGATTCAGCAGGTCCTGAGGCCATTGCCAGTTCAGGGCAGTGGGAATTGACCCTGTCTTTTGGTAGTGAGCAGTGGCCTATTTGTACAGGGAAGCCAGGGATTGTTGGTGGCCCTCTTGGAGACTGGCTGTCACAGAACTCTGATCATCTGAGGAATAAGCCTTCCATCCCAAAGGGGGTACCTGGCAGCACAACAGCCCCCTTACCATCTTAGCGTCTGCCTCACTGTAGCCCACACTCGGAATCTTAACAACTGTAGTCCATTTCCTTTGATCAAGCTTGTCCTAAATCCCTGACTCCAAGAGGAGGCCCCAACTATTTAGAAGAGGTTTTTTTTTCACAGGTGTTGGAAATTTCCTGTCTTCTTTTTTTTTTCTTTACAGAGCTAGACATACTCCTTAAGCACTGTTGTCTGATGGCCAGCTTTTTACTACTGCTTAAGTGCCTCATAGAGCTGGCGCCAGTCAGGGCAGTAAGGCTGTTCTGTAAGATCTGGTCAGACGGCAGTCTGGGCACTCCTGTTACCTGCCCCTCCCACCTGAGACTCCATTAGAACAACTGTGAAAGAATTGAAAAAGTGGGACCCCAGAGCAGAGAGAAGGATGAAGAAGAGTAATTTCTCTGTTTCTGGATTCTAAGAGGGGCTGGGAGATGGAAGAGGCCACCAAGAAGGGGCTGACCTTCCCTGGGAATCCTGACAAGCTGGAAGGTCCAGAGGTGTCCACCCTGAAGGAAACTGGGGCACTTATGGGCACCTCAGGTTGCCTGGTGTGTCCCCTAAGGCAAGGGAAAATCTTGAGTGCCCTCATTTAAAAGAAGCCACCAGGGACCCTTGACTGGCTCAGTCAGAGGAGCATGTGACTCTTGGTCTCCGGGTTGTGAGTTCGAGCCCCACATTGGGTAGAGATGATTTACATAAATACTTTAAAAAGAATTCACCAAATTGCCTGGCATGGGGTTGAAGCAACTGGCATGGTGCTTCTAGTATGGATGTTAGCACAGCAAGTTAAAGCTTTGCCCATTCTGTCATTGGGTGGATCCGGGTCTAATGGCCAGACCCCATTTGTTCCCTGTGAAGTCATGTCCCCTTGCAAGGCTCAGTTCTGTATGCTTCATGTCTGAGCTTGTGTGGTCC